CTTTGGGGATGCATCAGATACAAAAATAAAAACCATATAACCCACTAATAAAGTACAGTCAATTAATTTGCTGGGGTCAGAAAATGTAAACCTACTTCTACCTAGAAAACAGCATGTTCAGGTTTTCCTGTGAAGACAGGACCCAACTAAATGAACTTCTAGGCACAGTTCTTTAAGAAATTTGTCTCATTTCTGAATTAGTAAGTTTTTGAAATTGGGAATCAATTACTTAAATGCATTAAAATGTACCACCCTAAGCAATCCTGTGGCCCATGATCCTGTGTGTTTGAAATTCTACAGCTGTCTGTGGCAGCTTCAGGCCTCCATCCTGCTGCTCGGGTGCACACTGCTACAGAACCACCTCCCTCTGTCACCCAGCACAGCTCCAGCGTTCCTCTACAGCCACCACATGCACTATGTGGTGACCACTTGCTCCTCCCCTTCCTCTGTATGAGCCAGTGCTTCATGCCTGCCCTTTAAACTATATACTGTAGACTTCTCCTGCCTTAGGCCACCCTGCAATATCTGATTGATCCACAGCTAACTTTCCCCCCTTATCTAAAGTTCATGCTTAGAGGGCTGGAGGAATGGCTCAGTAGTTAAGGGCACTGACTGCTCTTGTAGAGGACCTGGGTTCGATTCCCAGCACCCACATGGTGGCTAACAATAGACCATAACTCCAGTTCCAGGGGATCTGACACCTCTTCTGACCTCTGGGGGCACTGCATGTGCACTTATACACATGCAGGCAATAGACTCATACACATAAAATAAAAATAATATTTAAAAAAATTAAGTTCATGCTTACAAAAAAATGAACCATTACTGAACAAAATACCTATCAGTGTCAGAAGCTAATTAAACAAATGACAAAACATCTTAAAATTCAGGGGCTGGAAAGATGGCTCAGTAGTTAACAACACTGGCTGCTCTTGCAGAAGAGCCGGGTTTGAATCCCAGCACCTACATGGAGGCTAACAACTGTCTGTAACTCCAGTTCCAGGGGATCCGACACCCTGTTCTGATCTCCTCAGGCACTGCACAATACAGGTGTATTTATATACATGCAGGTACTTATACACATAAAATAATAAAAAAATATTTTTAGAAAGATCTTAAAAATTACAGACTATCATAGAATGAAAGTCTCATAAAATAATTCTTCCCTTCTTTCACACCAAGAAACATTTATCTTGTTTCTCCCTTGAAAAAGATCTAACTTACAAATCCTTCCCACTTTACTACAAATCAATTCCCAGTGTCTTTCCAACTGCTCAGTTGATCATTGCTTCAAAAGGTAGTTTTTAGAATTAATTTCTGAAATTTCTACTTTGTGAAAATGGGAAAAATAGTTCTAGGGCAGTAAGCAAAAGCCTGTTTTACCTCATCAGAATCTACCAGCACTGGAAGCGCTCTGAAATGAAAGAGGGAAAAAACAGCAGTGTTATTAGAAGCATGGCAGGGAATTCATGAGCACTCAATGTTGAACCCCCAGCCCACCTTGTTTCCTCCATGACACACACAGCTGAGTAGGGAGAACTGGCTCTCCAGGGTGAGTTCCTGGGAGACAAATATTAAAAATACAACAGAATCTGCAGCTAGAGAGGGAGGGCAGCAGGAACCTGAGCGGGAAATTCTGGAGGTGAGAGGATAGTGGTCAGGGAGGCTTAGGGCACCAGCAGGCATTTGCTTAGCTCCTGAATTACCATTGCCTGAGGTACAGAATGTAACCTTTACTCAGGAACATAAGAATAAAAGGGAAAGAAAAGTGTACAAACATATTCACTAAGCTTCAAGTAGCCTCAATGTGCAATGGACCTTCAGGAGAGCACCCTGAAGAATAACATGTTGGAAGTGCTTAAACGAAATCAAGCAATACTATCCTTTTAAAAGGAAGGCTTAAAAACACTTTCATATGAATAAAATCAAGAGAATTTGTTTCAATAAACCTATGCTACAAGAAATTCTAAAGAAAGACCTACAGCAGAAAGCTCTTAGCTCAGACATATGGGAAGGAAAGAAGAAATACTAAAAGTGGGGCAATTATTAAAGATGGACACTTTTCTGTTAAAGAAAGTACAACACGTAGTATTCTGCAGGGACATAACAAGCATGAATTTCAGCTCCTGCAGTTTAAATGGCGCTAGCTTTGCCCATTCTGGCCACTAAAGAGCTAACATAAAAAAAGGGGCTGTGCTGGAGAGCTGGCTCAGCAGTTAGGTACACTGGCTGCTCTTGCAGAGGACCTGGGTTCAGTTCCTAGCACCCACATGATGGTTAACAAATGTTCATAACTCCAGTTCCAGGGGGATCTGATGCCCTTTTCTGATCTCTGCAGGCACTGCACAACATGAGCACACTTACATACATGTAGGCAAAACACTCCTACACATAAAAATAATTTTTTTTAAAGGGGGACAATACAAGTATAGCAAGGACATGGAGGAACTGTAGCTCCCCCACATTACTGACTGAAAGTAGTAATGCAGCTGCCATGGAAAGCAGCTCAGCATGTCCTCAGATTGTTAAAACATATGATCTCTGCACCATCCAATAATTCTACTTTTAGGTACATGAACACAAAAAATTAAATGTATGTGTGTGCACACATAACTAAAATTCATCTTTACAAGTGATGAAATGTAAAGAATCTTGATATTAGCAAAACTAAATAATAAAGTAAAACCACCACACAAAACAAAACCCATATCATACATGGAGAAACAAAGGAAAAGAGCTAAGGGGACTTCCTTCTGAAACTCTGAAAACTTGGGCCAGTGAGGTGGCTCAGCAGGTAAAGGCACCTGCCATCAAGCCTGATGACCCTAGGACCCACATGGTGGAAGGAGAGAACCAACTCCTGAAAGTTGCCCTTCAATCTCTGTGAATGCACACACAAAAAAATCGAATGTAATAAAAAAGAAGATGGGGTCCTGCAGACACATGCAGAGGTGGGAGGTCTGAGGAGCATCAAACAAAATCCCTTTAAACCACAGCCTCCATCCAATTCAGACTTTAACAGAGGATATTTACACGTCTGTGAATGAAGATGGAATATTTTCTTCCACCCATTTCAAATCTTCATCCTGTAGAAATAAATATTTGTATTTAGTATTTTCTTATTATCATCTGAAAGCAGAAATTTTTAGTAGAATATTTGTAAACTCTGAATTCTGATGTATGGAGTCTTAGGCCACGCATACCCTAAGAAGCTGGCGTGTTCACCAATGTTGCCATAAACAGGCAAACAAAAAATTGCTGCAGAGTCTTATATTTCTTGGCATTAGCTAAATACACAAATATTATTTTTATTTTTGTCCTAAGATGTCACAATAAAAATGTAGAATTGATTTATGACAGAAAATAGTAAGAATGATTTTTATTGATTTTTTATTTTTTTTGTTCTCCCTATTCATGCCTCCTAATTTGTTCACATCCTTGAAAATCTATCTATCTATCTATCTATCTATCTATCTATCTATCTATCTATTATCTATCTATCTATCTATCTATCTATCTATCTATCTATCTATCTATCTGCATATTTTGTTTGCTTGCTTTGAGATGGGGGTCTCCCTGTAGCCACAGCTGGCCTGGAACGAGCTATGTAGACCAGGCTGGTCTTGATCTCACAGAGATTTCACCTGCCTCTCCCTCCCAAGAGCTGGGATTAAATGCACACACCACCATACCAGCTGTTTATTACTACTACTACTACCATTATCATTATTTTTTTTTTTTTCCAACAGAACAGGCTGATGGGATGAGGCTGTCTTCAGTAAAGCCTACTGACTATATCACTTGTACTCACAGTCGTGCAGGAGATAAGAAAAGCCAGGCAGCTGGTATCTAGGTTTTATTCTTCTAATAGAAATTTACTTATAGTTCTTTCACTGAGAAGAGAAAAATTTAAAGTACACTGCACACTTTGGTTTACAGTATAAATAAAAATCTTTTCTATCCATTGGCTACAGGGACTGGTCCAGTTCCAGCATTAGCTGCATCTTGCTTCCTTAGAGAGACAAGGCAACTGAACTTCTTTTCTCTGAGTGGGTCCTGGGCAGGAAGGACAATAAATTTGAACCAACAGCTGATCAAGAGCTGTCCACACTTAGTTTAGAAAGTTGAAAAAAAATTCTTGCCAGGGTTGTAAAAATTGAGCTTTAAAATAAACTGAGATATATTATGCAAAAGGAAAATACCTAATAAATTAGAAATGTAATATATTTTAAGTCCCTTATCTAAAATGCTTGCGGTCAGAAGTGTTTCATATTTTATAATTTTTTTAACATTTGCATATGCATGAGGAGATAGCTTAGGGATGAGACCAAAGTCTAAACATGAAATTCACTATAATTCATATACACTTCATATACAAAGGCTGAAGGTAATGTTATATAGTACTTGTAAGAATTTAGTACATGAAACAGTTTCACAGTATGGAATTTTCCACTTGTGATGTGAAGTTGGTACTTAAAAAATTTCAGATTTTGAATTTTTAGATCAAGGATGCTCAACCTATAAATCTAACACTGCCTAAGTAAAACTAGTAATTTTTTTAAACACTTAAATTACCATGAAACTACTCAAAGAACACATTTTATAGATTACCAAAAATAAAAATAGAGAATTTACCAAATCCAAACAAAGTTGTCGGATACCAACTGCCCTGCCAGAATGTCTATGTATATGTAAGTCTTTGTACAGTGGCCTTTGCAGTGCATGAAACTCCAAGATGCCAGGTATGGTGGTGCACGCCTTTAATCCCAGCACTTGGGAGGCAGAGGCAGGCATTTCTTTGTGAGTACTAGGCCAGCCTGGGGCTACTTTTTTAAAAAAAAAAAAAAAAAAAAAAAAAAAAAAGAAACTCCAAGGCATCAGAGTGCAAAAAAAAAGTGCATAAGGCATTTTCTTCTGTTTACCCTCATAGTGATTTTACAAGTAATGACGTGCAAGATATTTAAACTCATCTCTGCCTTATATTTTGTTCAAGATTTTATAGTTTTTAAACAAGGTTTGTTGCCTTTGGTAACACAAAAGTCCTTTTCCCAACAGATAACAACTGTTATTTAAAATGGTTTCTACAGCAGGCACTAATATGCTGAAAAGTTAACACAAACTTTTACTAAGACAAAGCTTCGCAGTCTCTAACATGCAAAAGGGCCATCTTTGGAACCTGGCAGGGAGCAGAAGCAGGCTGGGGACACCTGAGATTCTGCGTCTCCAACAAGGGCCAGATGACCATGACAGAAAATAGTAAGAATGATTACTGCAGGCCCATGCCTAGTACAGGGGAAGTGAGACTCTCCAGCAGTATTACAGCTATGGGACTAACTAGTACTGCTACACTTATTTTAATAAGCAAAAAACCTTAGCAAAAGCCTCTCTGACAATCAATGGATCTTGACACTGATACAGACTCTAAAGTATTATAGATTGGGAAGCCATTAATTAGATATATACTCATCCTGGTGTGGTGCACGCCTTTAATCACAGCACCCGGGAAGCAGAGGCAGGTGGATCTCTGTGAGATCTAGGCCAGCCTGGTCTACATAGTGAGTTCCAGGACAGCTGGGGCTACAGGGAAACCCTGTCTCCAAAAACCCAGAAAAAGCAAAAACGTATATACTCACGAAATTTTCAGAAGTTGGTTTAGCTGTCCCATTTGAAACTGTTTTTGAGGCTCTTAATTTTATTCCTTCAGCTACAATCAGAAAATCAGAGAGATACCTATAAGATTACCAAATAATGCTTTTCTTTATAATGCCACATTTATTACCCCCAATAAGGAAAAGAGATTCTGCTTTTTCATTTGTTTGTGTGGTTTTTTTGTTTTCTTGCGTTGTTTGTTGAGATAGGGTCTCACTATGTAGTCCTGGCTGGCCTGGAACTCACTACAGAGACCAGGCTAGTCTTGAACTCAGAGAGTCACCTGCCTCTCCCTCCTGAGTGCTGGGATTAAAGGAGTACGCCACCACGGCCTGAGAGTCTGTTTTCTAAAGAAGGAAGAGTGGTAACTTTGGCCAGAGAGGTAGCTTTAATATGCCATTTGGAAATGTAGGAAAGAGACATGAAAAAACTAATATGCTATTAAAATTGATATGTAATAATTTTACATGTTTATGAGGTACAGTATGCCCTTATTTTCTTTCTCTCTGGATCAAACCAGGGTAATCAATGTATCACTTCAAACATTTATCATTTCTTTTAGTGGGAATGAAGCCCTCTCTTTTAGCTACTGTGAAATAGACAATAAATTATTAACTATAGTCACCCTACTGTACTAGGGACCACTAGGACATGTCCTCCTATCTAACTGTAATTTTCTCCCTTTTAAGCAACCTTTGCCTGTCACCTCTCCTGCTTCCTTTCTCAGCCTCTGGTAACCACTCCTCCACCCTCTGCATCTATGAGAACAACCATTTTGGCTTCCACATCAGTGAGAACATGCGGTATTTCCTGTTCTTTGCCAGCTTATTTTGTTTAATGTAGTATCCTCCAGGTTTAGATCCTGGTAAGTGTCATGACAACCAGGTTTTCAGGTTGCTAGTTTGAAAAATACCTTTAGATGAGAGTGCACGCACTCACCCACCCACCCACACACGCACTTTCTTAGTTTCAATTTAACATTTAAAAATATATAAGATTTACAGTATTTAAAAAAATAAAATATCTCTGGGGGTTTGGGATATAGCTCAGTGGTAGAGCATTTACCCAGAATATATGAAGCCTGAGGTTTACTCCCCAATCCAAAGCACTGCAACACACACACACACACACACACACACACACGGACATATACCCCCCCTTTTATTTTTTACTTCTCTAATGTATAAGCTGTAAGGAATGTGATTATGGTATAAAATAAGGTATATGCTTATGGTGGGAAGGAAAGCATGCTGATCACATTTGTCCCAGGCTCTTTCTCACATTGGCATTTTGAGTGGAGCAGAGAACAAGAGAGCAGGTCCTGGGACTGGACTGCCTCATATGGAATTCTGGCTCCTCCTGGTTATGACTTTGGGCAACACAACTTCTGTGATCTAGTGTTCTCAACTGTTAAATGGGGTTAACAGTGTCTAGTGCCGAGTTCTAGTGAGCACTGAGCTAACAAGTTAGCACATAAAAATGCCTGACCCGTAATCTATGAACAGTAACTATTCACTTTGATTACAATAATATGGCACATGTTGTTTCTCTATACACATTACAATGAGACCAACAGTGTAAATTGATATAATGAGCAAGGATAAAAATCTTCAAACATTGTTTCTACCCCAGGTGTGGTTGTGAGCGCTTTAATCCCAGCCCTCAGGAGGCAGATGTAGGTGGATCTCTACAATGAGGCCACCCTGGTCCACATTGTGACTTCCAGGTGGGCTGGGACTAGGGAGACCCTGTCAAAAAACAATCAACAACAACAACAAAATGTTTCCATAAAGTATTAGAAATCCCAGCATTTTTCTCAAAGGGGTAGTGATTTTTAAAAACTGAAGTATACATATATAATATGAAGATTAAACATATAGACTATTTACAGAGCTTTAACAAGCATATACACTTGTACATCTGTCATTCCAATCAGATACCTAACATTTCCAACATCACAGAAGGTTCTTTACATCCCTTTGCAATCCATCTCCATCCTGTCAGAAGTAATCAGTTCTGACACAATCACTGTGCTGGACACTTTTGTTGTCAACTTGACACACCTGGGCTGAGGGAGCCTCAAATGGGGAACTGCCTCCATTGGACTGGCCTGTGGCCATGTCTGTGGGGCACTTTCTTGATTGTTGAGTGATGTGGGAGGGCCCAGCCCACTGTGGGCAGTGCCACCCCTGGGCAGGGTTGTATAAGAAAGCAGGCTGAGCATGGGCCAAAGGATCAAGCCAGTAAGCAGCATTCTTCCATGACCCCACAAAGAGGCCAATGAATCAGCTCCAAGGGTAAAGGCCTCGAGATCAATCTCTGAGACCCAAATAGCAGAAAGAGAGAACCGATTCCCAAAAAGGTGTCCTCTGACCTCCACACGAGTGTCATGACACACAGACTATAGCACGTGAGCACATATGTATGTGCACACACAAAATAAATGTAATTTAAAATGAAAGAAGAATCCAAAAAGGACAAATTGCAACAGAAAAAATTATGCTAAAACATGTAAATTACATACATCCTGCCTTAACAAATGCTTAGCTGAGCATAGTGGCACATGCCTGTAAGTTTAGCATTTGGGAGGCTGAGGAAGGAAGGAAGAATACCAGGAGTTCAAGGCCAGCCTGAACTACATAATAAATTCCAAGCTAGCTGGATTACAGTGTGATACTTTGTCTTAAAAAACAAACATCCCCCTTTTAAAAACTCTCAATGGGCCTTTTCCTAGTGACCCAATGAGCCATCAAGAAGGGGCAGAGTAAAAACACTCCTTTTGGGTGAAGTAGTAACTTGTGTTGTTTTACTTCAATCCATGTTGTAACAAGAAAAACAAACAAGCAAAGCCGGGCTTAGTGTTGCAGGCCTTTAATCCCCGCACTTGGGAGGCAGAGGCAGGCAGATCTTTGTGTGTTTGAGGCCAGCCTGGTCTACATAGTGAGTTCTAGTCCAGCTGGGGCTATAGGGAGACCCCGTCTCAAAAAGACCAAAAAAAACCAAAAAAAAAGACCAAGCAAGCAAACAAAAAAATAACAACAAAAACAAAAATGGGCTGAATGTGGTGGCATACACCTTCAATTCCAGCACTTGGGAGGCAGAGGAAGGTGATCTCTGTGAGTTTGAGGCCACCTTGGCCTATATAGTGAGTTCCAGGTCAGCCAGGGCTACTTAGTGAGAACATCAAAAACCAAAGCAAAACCAAACAAACAAACAAAAAACAAAAAACAAAAAACAAAAAACCCAAACTACTATCACCAATAAATCCTTACAAATGCTTAATTAGAATATTATCATAAAATTAACAAGATGATAAAATGTGATATAAAAAACAAGAAAAATGAAAATAGTACTAAAATTATAGTTAGAAATGCTTTGAACATGACTAGGAAATTACAGTTGTTTAACAGGGCAAGAAGAGCCAATTCTCAGAAACTGTCATCATCATTAAGAAGTCGAATATACTTCAGGTACTAAGCACCACATAATCTCACACTATCCTTGTGATGAACCAAGCATCTGTTTTAATACTTTAAGAACAAGTAAATAACAAAAACTCAAATTTCATTAACAATCTCAAAATTTTAACTACTCACTTTTCTTTCTGTAGTATAATAATCAAATTTTTTTAAAGTCTCAATATTTTATAGGAAAAAATTTTGTGTGTGTGGGCACATGAGTTGGGTGTGCAGGTGTGTGTAGGTCACATATGTATGTGGTACACTGGACCTGTGTATGCTTGTGGTAGAGGACAGAGGACCTCTGGAGTCATTTCTCAGGTGCCATCTGTCCCTCTGCCCCACCCCTGCCTTTTTTTTAGAGACTCTGGCCTGGAATTCAAGTAGGCTAGGCTGGCTGGCCAGCAAGCCCCAACAATCAGCCTCCCCAGCACTGGGATGATAAGTGTGTGCCACCATCCCCATCTTTTTTTTTTTTTTTTTTTTAACATGGGTTCTGGGATTGAAGTCACATCCTCTTACAAGGCAAGCATTTTACTGACAAGCTAGTTCTTCAGAACTCATAGGAAAAAATTTAAATGTTGTGACCTTGCACATCACCACTAAAGACCTATTTCTGTTACAACATGTACAATGGCCATTAAAAAAAATTATATATATATACTCACACACATACTCACTTAAATTCTCAGATGTTACCATGAATTCTTCAACTTCATCATCAGAATCATCTATTAAGGGCATGAAGGCATACCTACATAAAACAAAGGAGCAGGTGTGTTTAAAATGTTTAATGTCAGTTTAAATGTAAAATAGTCATTGCATCCAAAAAAATCTGTATTTTCTAGGTTTTTAATAAAATATGCTCTGCTGTCTTGCCCTCACCAAGGCAGACTGATCTCCCTGCCTACCATGTTTCAGTTTTTCCTTAACGAAAGAATATTAAAGGATTAAAGGCCATGATGGAGCCTCATCTACTAGGTGATAAGATCACATTCCTTCTCAAAAATACTGCTGATGATAAGAAAAGTGTTTCTGCAAATTTTCTAGTATAATAATAAGAATTTTTAAAATTTTATCCTATTTGTTATTTTCATTTTATGTGTATAAGTGTATGCCAGCGTGTGTGTAAGTGCACCGGTGTCATGCAATGCCCTCAGAAGTGAGAAGGTGCTGGATCCCCTGGAACTGGAGTTTCAGATGGTTAGCCACTGTGTGGGTGCTTGGAATTGAACCCCCGTCCTCTGCAAGAGCAGTCAGTACTCTTAACTGCTGAGCCATCTCTCCTGTGCCAAAGAAGAAAACTTCTTATAGATGAAAAATCATTATGTTTAGAGGACAGTTATGTTTTCATATCACCAACTGAATTTGTATTTAGATAAAAATTTAAATTTTTAGAATTTTTAGAATCCTCTATTTTGTGTTTTATCACCAAATACATTTTACAAAAATTGCTGATAGATTACAGATGGAAGCAATGTTTACTAAGGTCTTTTTGGTAATATCTGTCAAAGTAAAGATGCCTTTGCTTTATACCACACTAAAAAAACTACCTCCAACAGCATCAGAAAATATTGCTGATAATAGCAAAAACCTAGAAACAAAATGTTTCCTATTTTTGGATTGCTTATAGAAACTGCCACACTCATATTACAGAATATCATATGGTCCTTAAAGATACTGTGGTATACCTGTATAGAAAGATGTATTATAAAAAGAAAGGTAGGGAACAGTACAGTATATATAACTATTTTTATTTGACAAATAAATTTATTATTAATTACATTTATTTATTGTGTATGCATGTATGAGGGTATGCAAGTGGAGGCCAGAGGACAATTTGGAGAAGTTGGCTCTCTCCTTCCACCATGTAGGTCCCAGGGGTTGAATTCAAGCACCTTTACTCACAGAACCATCTCACTGGCCCAATATGACTTTTTTTTTGGTGTGGGGGGTTTGTTGACAGGGTCTCCCGAGTCCTAGCCCACCTGGAACTCACTATGTAGACCAGGCTGGCCTTGATCTCAAAGATTCACCTGCCTCTGTCTCTTGAGGGGTGGGATTAAGGCCACGCCCAGCACAATATGACTTTTTTTAAAAAAAATATTATTTTTATGTGTATGAGTATATTGCCTGCAAGTAGGTAGGTGCACCCATGTTGTGCAATGCCCAAGGAGGTCAGAAGAGGGCACTGGATCCCCTGGAACTGGGTGCTGGGAATCAAACCTGGGTCCTCTGTAAGAGCAGTTAGTGCCATTCATCAGCCCCTATTTTTCAAAGAAAGAAGGGAAAATACTTCCTGGTACACACTTTCTCATTTTGCCCTAGAAAGATACATACATAAGAAACTGAATAGTTCTATTCTTAGGGAAGAGGGTAGGGGAATAGAAGGTGGGGCTTCCCTCAACACAGCCTAAAATCCAACTCTCTGAACTTGGCATTCAAGCCCTGTACCATTTTGGTCCTGCTCTTCCTTTCCAGCTTTCCTCAAGTGTAAGTATAGGTTGAACATCCCTAATCCAAAACTGTATCTGTTTGAGCAACATGTCAGTGCTTTAGAAGTTTCTGGATTTCATATTTTCAAGTTAGGAATGCTTAGCCAGTAAAATCTGTGCAAATATTCTAAAATATGAAAAGAAAAAAAAATCCCAAATTAAAAACACTTCCAAACATTTTGGATGTGGAATGCAGCTCCTAAGCTGTAGTACTAGCTAAACTGCATGCCTCATTGAGCTTCAGAGGGAGCACACACCATGGCACACCCACCATGGCACACTTTCACTACCCTCCACAGAGGAACATTCTTTCTCAGCTCAATCACTCACTGTGCTCTTGCTATCCTAAAGCTAGAGCATAAATTCCAGCTCTTCCTAGTCTTCACCTTCCTCCAGGCCTCTTCACTCTTACCTCACTGTCTTCCATTTGCTATGCAGTCTCCCTACTTGACTGTACACTGCTTAAAAGCAAGCAGTTCCCTACTATAGGTTCCCTACTATAGTCTATACCTGTGTTTTCAACTCTGCAGACAGGGCCAGCACATGCTGACACCTCAAGTTTCCTGTTAGTTACCTTTGATTATTTGCTGATGGCCTCCATAAAAACATTATTACAATAAGGATAAGTGAGAAAAGGAAGCTCCAAAATGCATCATCCACCCAGAGCTCCATCCAATCCTAAACAAGGACAATTCAAACACACAAAGTTAATTTTTGGATAAATGTGCAAACATCTCACTCAAACGGTACTGACAAGTAGCACCGAGACCTCCAATCTGAGTTTCAAGCTCCTCATTTTCTTTTAAAGAAACGTATTTTAGGAAATGTTTCTAAATGGTATACACATTTCCCTCCACAAAATTTTAGGGCCAATAGAAAGATTTAAGAAAAAAAAAATCAAAACATATACTTAAAATAAAACACACTAAAGAAGAGGAGAAAACAAGCAATGCCACAAGGTTCAACTGTCCCTAGCACTGCAGCACCTTAGGGCTTTCAGGCACTTTGTGATTGTTCTTGTACAAAAGAGACTAGCTCTAGACCTCAAGAGACCCCCAAAGGAGGGCTTTCATATTCTGAGAGTGAGAACCTCATCTTCTCCCAACTGGAGAAAACATGGGAACATCTCACCACAACCCACACATCAGACTGAAGGCCTTTAATCACATTCAGATACAAAGCCGGGCTGGGGGGGTGTAGCTCAGTGAGGTGGAGCATGTGCTTAGCATGTGTTTAGCATGTGCAGAGCCCTGGGTTCTATCCCTAGCACCAAGGGTAAGAAAAAAAGGAAAAAGAAAAAAGAAAATACAAAGTTCTTTTTCAAAATATATACAAAGTTAAGAAAAAGGCTTAATAGGAAAAGGAAATTTTATAGGAACTTTTTATTGGGGCAGTGGGGAGGAGGTTGAAACAGGGTCTTATATCGGAGATTGACCTTGAATCTCATCAACTGCTTCAGCCTCCCAAGGGCTCGGATAACAGGCTTGTGCCACCATGTCGGGTTTAGGAGGTACTGGGGATTGAACCCCGGGCTTTGTGCATGCTAGGGAAGCCTGCTACCAACTGAGCAACATGACCAGCTTCAGAGATAATTCTACAGAAAACAGTTCAAAGTAAAAAAAAAATATATCCATTAAAAATACTCTATTTACAGCAGGGCGTGGTGGCACATACCTTTGAGGCAGAGGCAGGTGGATTTCTGAGAGTTCAAAGCCAGCCTGACCACAGAGGGCGCTCTAGGCCAGCTGGGGCTATAGGGAGACCCTGTCTCAAAAACAAAACAAAACAAAACAAAACCAACAAAACAAAAAGATTACTGTATTTACAAATTAAACTCTTTAAAAATCCACAAAATAATTAAATCTTAGAGTACTTAAGATTTTACTTACTGATTGGCATTTTGCAATTCTAAACGTCTTAGTTGTCCACACCATAAACACTATAGAAGCTGAAACACACAGAAAGAACACCTTTGAAAGAGCATACAACACTGAAATAATTTATCAAAAGAAGAAAAGTAAGTAACTTACCTAGCACAGCAAAGATGAGAGTATTTGTAAAATGCCTGTACAATGAAAACTTTACTGTGTTCTTTCTTAGCCTTAGAGTCTTCATAGTTTGTGCCAAACTTATAAAAATGTGAAAAATTAGTTAAGGAAAAACATTGTAACTGGCAACATATAGTTAAAGAAGACACAGGAAGAATCTTGTACTATTTTTCCAGACAGTGGTGCTAAGTCAAAACAGAAAATATATCGCAGCCTACACTGTATAATTATCATTTATAAAACACTCATTTTTGTATATAATTTTCCATTGTCTGAAATAAATGAATAGACTTCAAGGAAAGAACGGTAAGCAAGAAGACTCCATGATGTGCTCCCACAACACAGGACAGCCCAGTACAATGAAGCCAAGTTCCTCAGCTCAGGCACCACTTACAGATCACATATGGCTGCCATTTGCCTTGTGCTCTTCTGTTGCTTTCTTGTGTTGTTTTTTTCTAGTCTGTTCCTATGTTATTCTCTAAAACATAATTGAGAAGTCACTTATCAATTACAATTTATAAATTAAAATTGAACTGTGTCAAATAGAACAAATCTGTATTTATTCTTTTTTTTTTTTATTATTTTTGGTCTTTTTGAGACAGGGTATCCCTGTAGCCCCTGTTGGCCTAGAATCACTTATGCAGACCAGGCTGGCCTTGAACTCACAGAGATCCACCTGTCTCTGCCTCCTGAGTGCTGGGCTTAAAGGTGTGTATCACCATGCCCAGCTGTGTTTAGAATTTTAAACAGGCAGGCCTTTAATCCCAGCACACAGGAGGCATAGGCTGGTGGATCTCTGTGAGGTAAAGGAGAGCCTGTTTTACATAGCAAGTTCCAGGCCAGCTGGGGCTACAGGGACACCCTGTCTTAAAAACAAAACAAAACCCCTCAAGATTAAAATTCTAAATACCTGAGGCCAGAGAGATGGTTCAGTGGTAAAGAGCACTGACTACTCTTGCAAAAGATCCAGGTTTGGTTTCCAGCACCCACATGGCAGCTAACAATGGTCAACAATCTGAATTCCAGGAGACACAAAACCCTCTTCTGGCCTCCACAGGCAAAGCACGACACAAGTGCACATACACAGTTGCAGGCAAAACATTCATGCACATAAAAATAACTACATAAAATTTTTTTCTTAATTCTAAACACTTCATTAATCAAAAACTTCATGTTCATACTAAAACTACTTTACCCAAACCACTTTTCCAATGTTTCTAAATGTCCAAAAGTTACCAAGGTGATTAGGTGGGGTTTTTTTTGTTTGTTTGTTTTAATTTTATCAACATAAAAAATTTTTTTGAGACAGGGTACATTGTGTAGTCCTGACTGGACTGGAACTCTGGCTACCTCTGCTACCCAAGTCCTGAAATTAAAGGTGTGTGCCACCACACTCCATAATCCAACTAATTAGCACCTAGAGTTGTTGGAGCTTACAAAAAACACAAGTGTACTATATTCCTTAAATACGTCAAAATGAAACAAACCTGTTCTAGTATAATCATTCAAAAGTGTTCTTTTAAACTCAAGGGATAAAAATACCAAAAGGAAATTCAAAACTGCCTAAGCTTTCACTTACCAAGACACTGTTGAATTCAGGTGAAGTTTAACTCACCCCACCGCCACCCCCTGAACAAGAGAGAACAGTGACAAAGGCACAGGGGCTCATCTGGCTGGAAAGGAGCCAGCTGAGCATGCTCTGCAGTAGGAAAAGGATATCCACCAGCACAAGCCCGAGTCAAGCAGAGAGAGAGGCAGGCTGGCCAGAAGAACAAGATCAGAATCATTTGCCTGTAGCAAAACAGCAAAAAATAAAAAATAACCAAGCAGGGAAAAGAGGTGGGGAGGGCAGGAACAGGGAAAGGTTATGGCTTTTGAAATTCTCTGTCAGAGTTAGATTCTTACAGGATTAGCAACTTTTGAATTAGGTTCATTCAAAGTGAAGGGAGCAAGGTCATTATCCACAACCCTCAATTCTGTGTCTAGCTCTGAATTTAGGCTTGTCATTTGTAGTCATTCAGGAAAACTGCTGCTTTTCCATACAGAGAAAACGGAGTTTTCACTTTAGTAATGAAAATTACCAAATAGCCATCTATAGGCAAACTTCACAAATTCAGGTTCAAGAAGTAAGGGGTACTATAATAATATTATAATAGACTTTCTCTCACCATTAAACAGTACTCAAGATAATTTTAATTTTTAGATTTCTTTATGACTACTAAGTAAATTATATCTCTCATCCTGCTTTCCTTACCTCCTCACTCCAATTTGGCTCACTTGTACTGGAATGTACCGAAGCCAGTGTTCAAAAAGGTGCTAAGCTGCCCACATTCAGAGATGGGCTCAGAAAATGCAAAGGTTTTCATTTGGAATTTTCTGCCAAAGTTGCAGTACTAAGTATTCTCCCCAATGAATTACCTTATGAATGGTTTAGAAGAAATCTTTGGAATACTTACCTGTAAATTACAAGGCGAAAGATAGCACAAACTCTTTTCAATGTAAAATCTAAAGACACATCACCTGATGAAAAGACATACTACCTGACTTGTCAAAAGCTCCAGGCATAAACAAGTTTAGAAGGGGGGCAGTTGCTAAAGCTCAGAGCCCTCTTTCTAAATACACAGTGACAGAAGGTAAGGTATCAAGATGTAGACTGTAATGCTGAAGGGCTGGGCTGCCTCCATCCCTATGGCAGGTGGAGCGCCCTACAGCTCTGCCATCCCAGTTGCAGGGGTGTCTGAATTCCCTGCACACTCTCCTAGGGAAGGTGAGCATCTCTAGGGGAGCTGCTGCTGCCACAGCCTTGCCAAGAGTACTCTTAGATCTGACCCCACTGTTCAAATGCAAACCCAAGGAATATGTCAACTTTTCAGCAACAGAATATCTTTAAATACCCCATAATGTAGGAAACAAACACCTCCCCTGAGGAAGAAACTTGTATCACACTCTGAGAAGAGGGCATTTATTTACATAGACTAAGATTCTAAACTAGCGACTGTGAACAGAAGTAAAACAAGATTTTTAAGCAAGTTCAGTGAAAACTAACTTTTAAAATTTGGTATTATTTTCTTGCTAGACTCCTCAGATTCTGAGGGCTCTGTGGATATGAATCAGAAGGTCCTTAATGGCCCCTTGTATGGAAGTCCTTGGGTGGGGTATGCACTATAAAGAGAGGCTCTATGACTTGCATTAAGTTTCCAATGGTATTTCTGATCCCTGTCGAATCTCAAACAAGATTAAGAACTACTGCTTTGAAGAGTAGGTATAATAAATTAAAATTCTGTTTGGAGCTGGAAATATAAGTCAGTGGTAAGAGTGCAGAAACTTTGACTCAATTCTCAGCACTATGCTTCCCACCCGCCATATTTAAACAGATACAACTTGAGAATTTGAAAATAGAGAACTTAAAGACTAGGCAAACCAGTGCTCAAAGGGCTCTGGGAAGCCACCAGCAGTGCTACATTTGCCAGTACAGTGCAGAAAGGGAGGCCTTGCTCCTGAGAAGATAGTCAGGTAAGTTCATGGCCCTTCTTGTTAGACATACAGATGAGGAAACAGAAAGAAATACAAGGAAAACCATAAAATAAAATTCAGTGACAAAAGATGAAGGTTTCAAAGACAGTAAAAACATAGTGCTGGAGAGATGGATCAGTGGTTAAGAACACTGGTTGTTCTTGCAGAAGACCTGGGTTCGAATTCCAGCACCCATGTGGCAGCTAACAACTGTCCGTAACTCCAGTCCCAGGGGATCTGACATCCTCTTCTGACCTCTGTGGGCACTGCATGACGTGGGTGCACTTACCTACATGCAGGCAATACACGCATACACGTAAAATAAAAATAATAAATAAAAATTAAAAAAAAATTCAAAGATAGTAAAAACAAAAAGATGGCAAAATATGAAATCTACCTGTGAGGAAGGAGTTTTGGGAAGGATATAAATATAGAAGAAACATAAAAATAGTGTTCTGGGATAAACAGATCCTGCATTCTGCTTTGACCAGACCATTTTTTTCTAGAATTCTTTTCATCTTCACTAGTGTCACCACAGAGGAAAAAAACAAAAACAACAACAAAACCTTAGGAACTTATCTCCTCACCTGGAGTGGCTGAGGAGGACCTTGTGGCTACCTGTTCATCACCTCTTCTAAAATTGCTGCTGCAGCACACCCAGCCCCTCCACCTGCCTGTTCCTATTCCGAATGTGTCCACCTCTGTGGCAGTTTCCTGGTTCTCTCCCTTCTTCACCCTGGTGTTCCTTCTGGCTGTGTCTTTTTCTTAAGGCGCCATCCTGGCTTCTCTCCTCTCTGGTCTACATGTTCCCCTAGGGTCATCCCACGGCTGCAACCCTCACCCACCTCATATGACCTCTGGTCATCATCCCCAGTTCTGATCTCCTCACAAATTCACACTGTTTCCAACTTTCCTATTCATATAAACGTCCCAGGGAATCCAAACTTGGCTGATTATAGCCCCTCCTCCAAGCTCACAGCCTTGAGAATGGCAACACTGTCCCCAGCCATCCCAATGAGACAGCAAGACCCCTCAGGCTACCTACTTCATCAAGTCCAGCACTGGCACTCATTCCCGCCACTCAATTTCTGACCTTCATCATCTCTCTTTAGACCCTGGCAAATGACTCCTTACTGCCAAGCCTCCAATCTCTCCTTTTCCAAGTCACCTTTCTACATCACCCAAGTCTTTTCCTCCAAACTTCATGATGTTACTCACATGCAAAGCTTTGTTTCCTCTACTCCCTGTCCTCAGAAGGAATGTGAAACTCCCAAGCATGGGGCCTCTAGCTTCATCTGCCATGATTCCCCACCATGTTCACATGCAAGAAAGCAAACTTGGGACATTCTGCCACTGTTCTCCTTAACTTGATGTTTCCAACTATTTGTTAGTCCTATTCTTCCCAGAATGCCTCCCTCAATCCTTTTCCTAATAAATTCCTACCTATGCTACCAGTTTCAACTCAATGGTCACCATCTCTGAAGACTTTGCTGATTTTTATGCCAGTTTTCTCTTCCCTGTTCACACACACCACCACTCTAAAATGGCAATTCCTCCTGCTGTGCTGCTTTAGTGAAGTTATACACACTTGTCTCTTTATCAGATTGTAAATTATTTCTTGCAGGGATGGTCTATTATATCCTTGCCTCATGAGTGTGAGGCACACACTGAGCACTTACATGTCTGCTGAACTAAAGAGGAAAATGTATTCTTATCTTTGAGTTATTACTTTCTTGCTTTTAACTAAACTTATACATTAAAGTAACAATAACAATAACACATAATTATATTTCATTCAATTGGTATTATAAATTAAAAGTGATCTGATTTAACTGACAGCACAAACTATTTTGGAAAGACATGGTAAAGGATATGTACCACACAAAAATGGAGTCAATAACTGCTAAAATAATGTCACCCACAACGACAGCTATATGTTTAGAACCCTGGAAGATAAAAGTAGGGGAAAACCCGAGTTTATAAAAGTTTCATTACAGTATCGCATTTATTATTTGGTGGAAAAAAAAAAAACAATTTAGCTTATCTCATCACTTTACAACACCATGTAAGATTTTATTTCACACAAGAATTGTGCATAGCACATAGAAATCACCTGTTTTGGCAACAACAAATGTAATTTGTCACCAGTGTATTTCATGATAGAACTGTAAAACTACTATGCACTAGTAAATAAATAAAAGCCTGTGGTGCCCCCAATCACAGTTTAGAGCAGTCATTTAAATCTCTTTTCTCTTCACAGCAAACCTAGAGCTGGACTCCTAACCTCTTCTGATCTTGTTTGAAGGGATATACACATGCAAAAAAGGAAAAGGAGGAGACGTGTGGAAGGGACAAACTATAAATCAGGCACTTGGTTCAACTGTCAGCGAAAATAACAACTATCTAAAATGCTGACTATGTAAATTAAAAAAATATAGTGTAAAACATTATATTTATGTGGGGTATTTTTTTCTATAGTCTTCAGCAAAGATCAATTTCCTATGAATCACACACACACATATACTTTATATATATATATACTTATATAAATAAAAATATAAGATTCTTGATGATTATCCAAAGGTAAAAACAAATACACTCAAAGAATAAAAGAACAGGCATATGCAACACAGAATGTAGAGGTATCAAAGACAACAGAATGAGGCTTTTAAGACTGCTGAACAAATGTTCCGCTTTAAGGGCCACATCAAAATATGTGAGGTAACCTTACGTGACAACATATAGATTAACTACTCTGTGCACCATGACTTACACAGCCAATTAAATGGCATTTTGGGTAAAATGGCAAGGTTGTTTGATTTAGGTAATACACAGTAAGCTTCTTAATCACTCAGTCCTTAACCACTTTCTAAGAAAAACCCAAGCGAGGTTATCTAGGGATGTAGGGGGCTTATTTTTGCTTTTTTTCTTTAGGGGTTTTCACAGACAAAACTATCAATAATTCCCCAGAGAGTAAAGTGCTGCTGCCCACACTATCAGAGTTTGCCCTGAACACTGCCTGGTTCTTCCAACCATGGGAAGGTGAGTAAGTCTAATCAGATAAAACTTATGCCCAAATGAGAGGAGGGATGTTTACATAAGTAAGGGTATAATTAACTTTCTGCCCACTTGACACATTTTTAAGTTCAATATGAATGTGTTTAAAATGTTCTTTATAAATAAACATTAACATTTCTGGGATGGAGCAAATTCCTGGGATGACATCAGTAGTGCTGTCATAACGGGTCATATTATTTTAAAAAATACTCTGCCTATTCGTTTCCTTCAGCAAGTACTAAAAACCAAAATATCCCATCAGAAAAGAAAGCTCAAATTGGGCTTTTCTCATAATTTATCTTTTTAGAAAACATCAAAGACATAAAAGTAAAATCCCATTTCACAGCAACAGAAGAGTGACAGTGGAATTATTGTAGTGTTACCCCAATGATTCGCATCACGCCTTCGATGGCTGCAAAGATAAAGTAAAGCAGTCCCAGTCCAGTCACCCGGTGCATGACTGTTCCTAGACGAGGCCTGGAGACAGCAAGAGAAACAGGGAAGGAAAAGGCACAGGTAAGTAACTGCATCAGAAGGCAGAACTGGCCATTTCTAACCCAGATGTTGCTATCTAATCAGATTAGTATGCTTGTGCCTCTGATGTTCTCTCCAAGTATCCTAGTTTGCTTTTTATTGCTGTGATAAAACTTGGACCAAAAACAACTTGGGGAGGAAGGGGCTTATTTCCTTTCACACTTCCAAGGCACAGTCCATCTCTGAGGGAAGACAGAAACTGAAACAAACCATGGAGGAATGCTGCTAACTGGCTTGCTTCCCCTGGCTTACTGAGCTGTCTTTCTTATAAATGCAGGCTCACCTGCCTAGAGATGGCACTGCCCACAGTGTGCTGAGCCCTCCTCCATCAACTAGCAGTTGAGAAAATGCCTCACAGACATGGTTACAGGCCAAACTAATGGAGACAATTCCTCAGTTGAGGTTCCCTCTGCCCAAGTGGCTAGTTTCTGTGTCAAGCTGACAAAAACTAGCCAGCACAAACAGGAGACAGTCTAATTCCTGTGAACCAGGAGACAGACCCAGAAACACCAGGTCCCCTCCTCTAGGGCCTGAAGCTGTACGATGCCTGTGAAGAAACACTGAGGCCACAAAGGTGCCAGAGAATTTTAGGAGGTTCAAGCAACTGTTTCCTTAGATTAGAAGAGTAGGCTGGTGAACCTAGGAAAGTATATGGCAAGTTCCAGGTGCCACTGACACAGATCAGAACCTGCTTCTTCTGTTAACATCAACCACAGCCGTGTACAGCACTATCTTGGAGAAACCTGCTGAATGTTGGGACCAGAACAGAATGGGGAGAATGTGAGTACTTGCAACACCAGTAGCTTCTCTCCCCGAGGGTTACTCTAGAGCAAAAGTGCCAAGACAATTTGGTCTTCAATCTTTAAAAAGTTACAAACAGCATTTTTGACTCTAAAAACATAAATGAATCGTGAAAAATGCAATTTTTTTACAATAATCTGAAAATAGAAGGGATGTCTGATTTCACATTTGCAAATCAGATTTGATTGCATATATATTTTATACTTAAAGACCCTCTTCTCGTAGTAATTAGAAGAAAAAATGGTTTTGAAAATACACTTGAGAGAGTCATAACAAAACCTAAGGCAAGGAGCTTCATGTAAAATATGAAGAAACCAGGCTGGCATCACAGCCTCCTTCAGGGTTATAGGTGAGGAGAATGGACTCATTCATTTCTTCTAGAGTCTTGGTATGCAACCCAGGCTAGCTATGAACTAAAGATCCTCTTGACTCTGTGTCTTGATTGCTGGGATTACAGGTACCAGCAGAGCTAGTGGCTGACTGAACAATTCTACTCCAAGAACTGCACCTAGAAGAAACAAAATGGTTCACCTAAAAGCTTGATTGTGAAGGTCACAGCAGCTTTACCATTATTGCCAAAAGTTGGGGGTGGGGATGTGAGAATATTCACTACCTAGTAATAAATAGCCAAACAAATTCAGGGAGAAAAGCATCCTCACTACTTTGAGAAAGTTATAGATCAGAACCTTCCAGGAAACAAACTTAATGGAAAGTGTTATGTATGTTTTAAGATGTGAAATAGAAAAGCTATTGGGAAGCAGAGTTACTGCTTACCCTAATACTGCTTACAAGGGAGCGGGGAATTGTGTTAGAGTGTGCAGAAGTGATAAAACTACTTGTAGATAATGATTACCCACTGGAAAAGCCAACAGAATTAATAGGAGGGCTCTCAGCATCAGTAAAGAGGTAAGCTTACAATTACTCTGCAGCATGTCTCTATACCAGTCATGTTCAATTAGAAAATAAATTGAGCTGGGTATGGTAGCACATGCCTTTAATCCCAGCACTTGGGAAGCAGAGGCAGGTGGATCTCTATGAGATCGAGGTCAGCCTGGTCTATATAGAGTCCAGGTCAGCTGAGGCTACAGGGAGATGCTGTCTCAAAATGACCAATTAAATAAATTAAAAAATTGAAGAAAAAAGACATTCAGGAAAGCAACCAGAGTTCCAGGGTATCTATGAGTTCAATTAGCCAAAAGTACCTAAGCCCTTGGGACTTAAATGACAAAAGTAAAATATCTCACAGTAATTAGAAGGATTTAGGATAATCAAAGTCCTTTTTACACAACAAGGAATTATGGCAGTTAAGAAAAACCTAGAATTCAAAGACACAGTTGGGTTTCCATTTCTGGATCTGAGCTTAGTTGACACTGTCTAAATAGTCTCTACCATCCACATGGATGAAAGACCAGATATTGCAATGTGATCTCAGAGTCAACTGAATCTGACTCCATCACACATCTTTTAAAAAATTTTTATTTATTATTTTTATGTGTATGAGTGTATTGCCCGCATGTATGTGAGTGTACCTGTGTCATGCAATGCCGCAGAGGACGGTTCACAGCCCCATGTGGGTGGTGGGAATCGAACCCAGGTCTTCTGAAAGAGTAGTCAGTGCTCTTAACTGCTGAGCCATCTCCCCAGCTCTCCCCATCACACATCTTAACTTCACTCCTCCAGCTTGAGGAGCCTGACATCTGGGACCTAGCTGGGCTCCCAAAATGCAGCAAGAATTGTGGGGATAAGTCAAGAATGCCTGGAATGTAGAGCATGGCCACCAGGCAGGATACCTTCTAGTGAGGGCGATAGGAAGCTGGCCCACTCCATTCTAGGGACACTGTCTCTTACCCAACAACCCTCAAGCAAAACCATTAAGCCTCTAATCCTTTAATCTTAACCTGGTCCCTTGTAGATTATGCGACTGGAGGAAAGGATAAAGGCCACGTAGCCTTGGTAGCCCCCTCTCTCCCCTACCTGCCAGAAAACCCAACCCCTGTCTCTTTGCCCATGAACCTTTCCTATATAAACCTCTGCTTCAGCCATAATAAACGAGCTGTCCACTGACACAGCCTCCTGGGGGTGTTTTCTCCTGTTGTACTTGCTGCTGCCCAAGGCCTCCCTCCCCCCACCAGTCTCTCTCCTCACCCCAACCTTCCACTATGCGGACCGCTGCGCAACGGTCTCCCGGTGGCAGTGGGGTTGGGGCTGGGAGTGGGGGGGGCAGCAAAGAATCATCAGGAAGCATCAGGTAGATCCCTGACAGCCACACTCTTAGTTCCTCTTCTGTCTTCCCCATGCACCCTTCAGCGCCCCTACATTTCTCCTAGTATTTATGTATAAGATGACACCAATGTTGCTCAGCTTAGGTTGGGGTTACATCCTGGTAATCCTAGGATAACTTGAAAGTATCATTAGACATGCAGTTAATAAACCTGTCAAACATTTGCACTCAGCCCAGCCTGCATTAAATGTACTCAGAAAACCAACATTAGCCTACAGGTGAGCAGTATCATCAGACACAAGTCTGCTTTATAGACAGTAACAAGGTGGTTGCCTAGATGACTGGAAGCACTGGCTCCCTACAAGTAACATCACCATTACAAATGTAATCACTGCAAGTTGGGGCCATTCATGTTTCTTGAGCACCTAGGTACATCTCAGTCAATGTGGAGTCCTCAAATAGGCCCCTAGCATCTTCTGCAAGCTTGTTAAAACATGGAAAGTCAAGGCAGAGATAAATGAGGTCCTGAGAAAGGAGAATTTTATATGGTACAACCAACTCTCCTGCCTTGGGTCTCTCAGTTTCTGTATTTTTAACAGGGCTCTCAGTGGAACAACTATGTTAGAACAGTGTTCAGAGTTCGTGGCTCTGAAGTCTGTAGAGCTAAGGTACAAATTTGTTATCTTCAGTGGAAAACAAATGTTGGATCCTAGTTTGATGGTTCTGTACTTTGAATCTGGATTTGTTGCAACATTCTCCATAATAAGACACAGACCATTTAAGAAGTAAGGCTATTGTTTTCCTGGGTAAGCTTGACCGCACCCACTGTTCTTACCACATTCACCCTCCCAGCTCCTCCACCCCATCTTGCCTCCTAGTGTGGGAACTGGCCCATTTCTTCTCTTGGTACCCCAGACCTCAGGACTACCCTCTTGGCCTAGACTCCCCACTGCTTCCTGATCCTTTGCACCCAAACCAACCCAGTTCCTGGAGCCCTCAAAGCCTGTTCCCTCCCCTACCTCACCTATGTATACCTGAGACCAGCTTTTATCCCTGGCTGTTCCACCCCAAACCTGGATTCCTTAGACTAGCCTCCTTCCCTACTTGCTCTGGATTCTGAGACCAGCCTCCTTCCCTGACTGCCCGAGAATCCTGAATCCTACCTCTACCTAGCAATCATCCCAAATTGCACTGTGCCTGCTGACTAGAGGGATCCAGACCTTAGGAGAAAGCCTGACAGCGTCTGATCCTCATCTGACTTGGGCCTCTGTCAGAACTCCTGAGCAGCAGGACTAAAGCCATCTGGCCCTTCCAATATAAAATCAAAAGAGAGAACCTGAAGCCTAGACCAACCAGCTTTTCACACCCAACAAGTAAGCCACAAAGGCACATAAAGGTTACAAACAGAAGCAGACCTAAACTCAACAAAGGAAGGCTTGAGTATCAAACAAGAACCAGAAACTACAAAAGAAATCAATCCACAAGTCAAACTCACAGCAAAAAAAAGATAATATCAAAAACCCAAATAATATATCCCCACCAAGTACCAGCAGTCTGTAGAGGGCTACAGTGAGAACCCCCTAGAGATGAAACAGGACATGGAATTCAAAAGAACAATTATAAACATGATAAAAGAATTCACTGAACTTAAAGAGCAGAGAAACCAAAAAAAAAAATCAAAGAACTAAAAGAAGATAGGGATAAACTTCTGGATGAACTCAAAAAAGAGTTAGAAATACTCAGGCTGAAATGAAGAAGGAAGTAAAACACTCAAAAAGCCATTCAGAAATAAGAGGAGAAAGCCTCACCAATATGATGAATGAAATGGAAAACAGAATATCAAGACTGGAGATAAAGTGGATGAATTAGAAAACTCAAGCAAAGATTATGAAAAGTTTAAGAAAACACAAGAATGGATGGG